AGAGAGAGAGAGAAAAGACATGTAATTATCATACACAGTGTATATTTTGTGCGCCCGTAGCAGATATACATTCGAATAATTTTTTTTTTGTAAGAAACAACCTTAACCGCGTACAATATTAGCTCACAATCGTCTGTTAAGTGCTATCTCCTACAGCACACCCGAGCTATTCGAGCGAACAAACAACAGTAAACTATCTTGTGCATACTGTACATACTAAACAAGCAAAACAATAAGCATCCCAACGGATGTGCTTCAATTGAAACCATGCATATGCAGAAACCATGCATATGCATGTCACTATCTGGTTTGTGTGGTATGCTTTGATCATGAAAGACAACTAATGCACACCAAATACTCACACACATACATGCGTGGTGTTCGTGTCCATTAGTATATTACTACGGCGCATGTTTAACAAGCACCCCAACTGTTATACACACTTCAAACGCATACGCATACACACCTTGTGATCACGGTTCCTGCTGCGGCCACCCTTAAGCAAGAAGTACTTCACAATGGCCAGAGCCACCACATAGAGCACAAACATTCCTATGGCATATATGGTCATCTGTCGTACGAATACGTTAAAATGAAAGTCCACTACCGCTGAGCTCTCAACCGCACACTCGTCCCAGCGATCGAATTCTTCGCCTACTGAGCATGTGCTGGCTTCTGGTACTGTTTGCGGAGGCGCGATGTCCACTATTTGGTCAGCAATAAAGTACTGCCGCAGAGTGTGTATAGTATTACCCATGTTTGTGGTATGGATGGTATCAGACACCAACTAAGAGACATATACAATTTGTATACGAGGTGACCGACGTATGTTTTATATATAATCGCACCTAAATTTTGGCAGCGGATGTTGCGGTATCAGTTCACCGTATATCGTTAAAATCAACGATACAGCGTACGTGCGTAACTCCTCCCAGTGGGAATGCCTGTGTTATAGTTCTATTCACCGTGTGCGTATCATATCACACTAAACCGACATACATATGACTTCATGTTTAATTGTTTATCGATTCAGAGAACAGCTCATAGCTGTAGCTCTTATGCCTTGAAAATGCTGTACTGCGTGCGTAGAGTTTGTAGCAGTGTTACCGGCTACGTAGGTAGCTGAGTATGTACGCTTCAAGATATGGATGACACAAAGTTCATTGTTTATGTGTATATACATATACGTATGCACTATGTATATACATATACATAGATACGCATAGATCGTTCAAGTCATGACGCGTCATAACGATATATTTACCTCTCTCTCTCTATATATATATATATATATAGAAGTCGGTAAATATCAAAATTAGTAGAATGTGTTTTAGGGTTTTCTACAACTCTGACATCGAGCCAATACAATTTACTAGTCCGCACCCGCTCAGTCCCTCACAGCTCACTACGAATGGTCACCAGCGCACTCTAAAGAGCAAAGCATACACAGCAAATTGTTTCACCAATCAATAGTCTTTATTACATACCGGCATTGTATGCTATTGGTGGCATTGGATCTAGTAGTATCTCAAGACCCGCTAAAACCAAAAATGGCAATAGCACTAACCACACACGTCACACGGTGCAAATTGCAATGCTCTGTGCCATGGCTCAGTTAATTTCTCGTTGAAACGTTTTAAAAATCGACCATTTTTGCGTTAGATAAACGTTTATGTTCTTTGTAGAGGTTTCCCCGTTTCTTCACTCGGCTATGATAGAGTATAAATATAAAATAATTGTGCATTGTTCAATTTAGAAGGCCATGAGATATGCTTTGATATTCATCTCTGCGCTCCAGAGTCCAGACGGATATGTATAGGTATACCAACCTTATCACTTCGTAACATTAGTTCATTTCGAATACATTAATAGCAGCTATACGGCCGACCCGAGCCTGTGCTCGAATATCAAACCCCCCTATGCATACGCATTCCTTTTGACTAATACAACAGAGACACAATGGGAACTGACCTGACTGAGGCAGAAAAGCGCATGAAATATGCGGAGCACATTAACGTAAGTCAATGCGTTGGGTACGCCGTGTTCGCTTATAACACAATATCAGATACTCACATTTGAGAAATGAATGGGGTTTGCTTGTGGGTTTAAGTATGAATTCGAAATAGATAGTTTACTAGTTGCTGAGGATAGAGTACGTCCTAAGCAAATGCTTGGAATACAATTTTCCCACAGGAATATGAGATCGATATGGATTTATATACCTACATGTGTGGAGGAATGTGCTTTGTAGTTATATTCTGCATATTACTGCACGACGTTTTCTCCTATTCATGCGTTAGACACGGTTAAGACAGGTATGTGTACCTAGATGAATACATCCTAAATACTGCACCTGAAGTTCATCACAGCCAGCTATCGAGAAGATGTTGATATGTACGTTCTAGATCATGATTACGCCAATACGTATATATTTTACTGTCTGAATAAATGTAGGGAAGGCGGCGATAGTTGTATGAACACATATAAAAATATTTGATATACATAT